TATTTGTCTTTGCACATATTAATATAGAATAAATGCTGGAACAATAATTTTGCTTTAAGTATTTTGAAACTATTTTTAGCACAGTTCTGACTAGAGGAGGGGACAACAAGAAAACCGCAGGGAGACTCGAATGAAAACTTAATATGATTTTGATATCTATAAACATTTCTTTATTTGATATTTCCTAATTTCGACATTTGATTAGCCAATGTAAGCAATAATTGAACTAGTTATATATGAGTATATTCGACGCAAGAACTTGGGTGACTTACTTGGTGTGACAGCATATGCGTAATTATTTCCTGAGGCCAATATACATTAACGAAAATGTGATGGAGAAATCCATGACCTGCTCTCAGTGTAACTGACATATTTTTATAATAATAATTTAGTGGTGATTGTTAAGTTTTATTATAGTTGGTCAGACCATATTTAAGATGTTTCAAAGCACTTAGTAACAACAGAAGAGCAGAAAAGTTAATATAAAGAAAACACAGTTTTTAAATTTACTTAAATTAATTTTTAAAGTTTCGTCAAAAGAGCAGCGATTACAAATTTGTTGTTAAGGCTTTAGAATATTTGTAGAACTAAGGTGCGGATTAGATACAAGATACTAAGAAAAAGAAATATAATATATAAATATTAAGATGGTTTTTAATACCCTGAACAGAGTATATTTGTTTTATTAGTTTGTAAAACCTAAAATGAAACATTGGAGACCCTATAAAGTGGATGTATAAATGATCAGAGGGATGAGCTGATGAGATTGATCTAGACATGCTCGTTTTTCTGTCTGTCTGTCTGTCTGCAAATAGTTTCTACAATTTAAGAAATGTATGCATATGAAGGATAGTTTTTTCTCTTTTTTCTTTTACTGTACCATATTCTTGTTTAAACTTGATTTCTTTAAGAAAAATTAAAATGTTTTTTCTACAACTCAGCATTAAATTGATGTATCGCTGACATATTGCGGCGACCCGTAAAAACACTAGCGTCGTAATTCTATGGCATGGCGTTGGCAGCAACATGATTGGCAACGAGCTAATGGCTCGAACGAGGGAAGCGCAGGTCTCTGGTGGCGAATATGAGCTGCGACAAAAAGGCTGTGTTGCATTGAATGCACAAGTACTAATTTGTAACTACTTTTTCTTTTGTTTTGATTCCGCTTCTGCACGCAACAAAAACGCGTCGCACATCGGACATCAAAGCCCGTTGCAGAAGTGCTAAATGTGAAGGCAGAAAAAGTTCACATCAATCGATTTCCTTAACCAATTTCCACGGTACTTTGGTGGCAAGCGCTGGCAAACAATCGTTGAGTGCCTGAATATGCAACATAGTTTTTTTTTTTTTTTTTTTTCTTGTTCATTTCAAGCCTATAGGCGTACACTTGTATGGGTCCTTTGATATTGGAATGTGTTTGCACTTGTTTGCGGGTGTGCTCTTTTGCCGTCGACCCAGTCGAATGCACAGACCGGCTGTCAGTGAGGCAACTAATGCTGCAAACTTTCATGTCTGTAGACTCATTGGTGGCATAAATAAATGTAGTGCTGCATTTGGCTTTGGCGCTGCAATTGTTTCGTGGTGCGATATGCGCATAAGCTGTCACTTTATACGGCTAAACTTCCCCTTCACACCGCGTGCTGCGCTTGTTTTCGAGTGTTGTATGCGTGTTGCACAATGAAACCTTATTGTGCACCAGCACATCACTCATTCATTACACTTTGCATTGCGGCCTTGTGACAGCATTATTGAAGCGAGAGGAGGAGAGGTCGCACTGCGTTCAGTTGTTCCGTTGCCACATTTTGTGTACCATCTACATGTAGTGGCAATGCACTGCAGTGACACTCTTTTTTTGCTTATTGCACTTTTTTCTCGTTGCAGTTGTTGCCGTTATTTTGTGTAGTATTGAAGTAAGTTTGCGCGGTAATCCAGTCAGTGGCTGGCTGTACAACGGAAGTTGGACCACATCAATATTTATACCCTGAACAGGGTATATTCAGTATGCCACGAAATTTCTAACATATAGTAGGAATCGTCGGAGCTATTATAAAATATAAACCTAATGATCAGCATAATGAGCTAAGTCGATTTAGCCGTGTCCGTCGGTCTTTCTGCATATCAGCTTTTGAGATATCACCCTGAAATTTTGCACACCTTATTTCTAGTATGAAAAAAAAGTTTTATTTGACAAGATATCTTCACAAAATTCCACATAGATTTTTATTCAAGGCAACGCGACAATATCCGGAGAAATTTTTCAGATCGGACTACTATATGATAAAGCTGTCATATAAATTTAACAATCAGAATTAAGTTCTTGTATTGAAGCTTCTTTATTTGTGAAGGGTATTCTAACTTCAGTGCAATCGCAGTTACCGTTTTTTCTTGTTTTTATTCAGGTTCGAGTGGAAGTGATAATCCAATATATGAAATTCTTGAGAAATGAGTAGACATAGGTTGATTTATACATACTTAATTAAGAGTCAAAAGATGTTTGTATAGTTATAATAAATTATTTATTAAGTTTTTCGATCAATATAAAATTGAAGACCATTCAAGTCTATTTATTAAGAGCTCAGATGTAAAGCTCGGGTAGACTTGGACTGTGTTGTCTTTGGGGCCTCGGTAAGTTATTTGAAAAGCATTGCCGCCATAGACTTCGTCATTTTATCTTTGTTCGGTTTAAGTTCAGTAGTCTCTTATAAATACTAAATAACAAGCGAAATCAATACCAACATATTAAAAAATGAGCACAGGTGTACAAAATCTTGTCACGTGTGGATTTCGACACCCCATTTCAAATATAAAAGAGATTCATTTAAAAATAAGGGCATAGAACTAACTATTCTTTTGCGTAACATTTTATTAGAAATCACTCAGAATCTTAATCTTTTTAAGTACAATACAATTACAGTTATAGGGACTATTGATAACAGTGTGAACCAAAAATATATACATGTACTTTTTATAATTCTCCATCATGAATAATTAACATTTGCCAATAATAAGACATCTGCATGCATTTCTTTCGTTCATTCATGTGGTCCCACATACCATAACAAAAACTACAACAACAACTATCTTCTTTAAGCACCAACCTCAATTGAGGTTAAATTGTTTCACTCTGCAGCAAAACCGCACGATTTCTGGCGATCAAGCTTTCAGCCAATCAAATACCCCATAGATCAATTGTTGGTGCGTTTATCCTCATTGGTGGCATTGCGAATGAGAAGCGGCTATTTTGCGGTCAGACACAAACAGTTGGACATTGAGGCAAAAAGTCAATATATTTAAATGCGTTTCTGTACGTGCGTAAAATTCAATTTCAACTGGAAAATTTAAAATTTGCACCATAAATGATTATAAGTAAGATTGTCTGCAGTGAACAGGAAAATATATTTGAAAGGTAAGAAACCAGTAAATGACTGGAACGCACGTTTGATTCGTGCTGTAAAATTATGTAAAACAACGATTTCACCGTTTTTGCTGGCACTGAATTGACATTATGTGGTCATACTTATTAATTTTTCACTGGAACTGATGGGACCTTAGACTCATATTATTCTAATGTTATGCATTTTTATACACTGAACAGGGTATATTAAGTTCGCAATGATGTTTGTAAAACCTAGAAAAATGTCGGAGAGCCTATAAAATATATATCTAAATGATCAGCTTGACGAGCTGAGTCGACTTAGCCATGTCCGTCTGTATGTCTGCATATACGCGAACCAAGTCTTCAGTTTTTGAGATATCAATCTGAAATTTTGTACACGTTCTTTTCTGCCAATATCGGACGACTATAGCATATAGCTGCCATACAAACTGAACGATCGGTATCAATTGTATGGAAAACTTTTCCATTTGAAGAGATATCTGCTCGGAATTTCGGCGAGAGTCGTAGTCCAACCAAGATTAACGTGTTTTCTTGTTTATTCATATTTATGTAGTGAAATAAATATTAAAACAAAATTTGGAAAAATATATATAAAAAAAATTACTGAAAGCACACAGCAAATACATTTAGATACACAGCATACTTACACTGGTTTAAGGAAAATAAAACACCGAAAAATTAACAATATTTACGACAAAACTTAGGCAAAATTATTGTAGCTAAAGAAGAGTTTTGCTTTATTTGTTTGGTACACTCAAAAAGCTAGGTGGAATCCACACGCGCTCAACCCCATGTGCTGGCATACGCCATGACAAACGGTGTCTTTGTATTGGCGCACACTTGTTTTTTCATTTTTTACACACGTCAACAGCACAGTCTGGGTGGTCGGATTGTATGAGTGCGCCCTTAGTGAGGCGGCCAAAGTTGTGTGCCAATGTTGCCGAAACCACAGCTTAACGAATGTGATAAGAAGTAATCGATCGATTTTCGCTTCAATACATATTTACATACGTATATGAGCGCAACGGCACTACAAATGCGATATCAATGGTAAACGTAAAGTAGTCTAATAGTGGTAGTAACTTGTCGCATATCGCCTAAAAGCAGACTACGGTGGAAATGCTAAGTCTCTCACTCTCAGCAATGCGACGGCTACGGTGAAAGCCGACGAGCGAAATGAGTAATTTTTATTGAGCGAACATTGGTGTACGTGTAAATGCGAGAGCGCCGTTGGGCATGTATTTGTCTAAGGTGTGTTAATCTCGGCGAAAAAGCTACAATCGACTGCTAAGTTGCATCTTTTCTGGCGTACAATTTTCGAACATTTTGAATGCTAAACAAGAAGTTATAATTTGGAAATTAAAAAAACAAAAAAAATCTGATTTTATTTTTATACTTTAAAATTGCCTCTTAAAGTATAGAAAGTTGTATTTCTGTGCTTTGAAATGCCCGTTACTGTCTACCCACCCACTTATTGCGCCGCAATACTATCCGCTGAAGCACTGTGACCACCAAAAGACCAGTTGTATTATTCAACATATCCATTTGGGACAGACAATGAAGTTAGTAATACTTTCGTACAATAACTATTTTCACTACTTACTCTTTTCAGTTTGTATCGTCACACAGGCGGCTAATCCGAATTATTGATTTTTGCGTTTTAATCCACTGGGGAGAAGATCGTGTGTAGCAAAAACTTATATGCTGTGTATTTTTATTATTATTTCATTGTAAAATCTTTGTATTTCACAAAGCACGCTTCCAAAATGTTGGAAAACTTTCGCCAAAAAGAAATTGTTTGCATGTATGTAAGTATGTATTTAATTTCCTTTTGAATACAATAGAGAATTTTTTCTTCTATATCCTTAGTGTACTACCACCACTAATACATATTTGTTGTACACATATACACAATACACTTTACGCGTTTGCTTACGCACACATACACGCGCTGGTGCAGAACTGAAGTTTTCCTTCCGTCGTATACTAGGTACACACACAAAAAATGGCAACTTGGCTATAAGCGAATTTTCATGCCTTGACTCGCTTAGAATCTAAATTTTCAATTGCAATTTTTTCGCTTTAAAACACTTTTTTTTATCAATTTTTTACAAATATTTCACTTATACACTTAGAAAATTTGCTATTATTTACATTTTTTAATTACATATATAGGGTTAAAATGCTCCCAATTCAACTCACACTCCCACTATTTGCTACAATTTTTTTCTGTTGGATACACTACCGTGCGCTTTGCCGTCTTTATTTCCGGAATCGTCCTGTCACGAGCAACGCAATCGACACAATGAAGCGTATGAGCAGGCTGCTAGCCGAGCGAAGCCAGCTGAGCGCATTATTGCCGCTTTCGCGTGGAAAATCCTGCGCTCACCAACAGCGAGCCGTGCTCGCAATATGGCACCACCACCAGTGCTATGGTTAAGTTGGCATTTTCACCAACAACACATGCGAACAAGAACACAACATATGTTCGTCTAGTGGTGTGCGTGCTTGTCACGATAGAAAAATATTAGCGGTACTCCTAACGGTGCTTTGCCGTGCAGAGAGCGCTTGATAAACAAAACAAACTCTCGCGTTTATTTCAGTGTGCTCCCGGAGTCGCACACACATTCATATATAATACATTTTGTGATTCTCTCCTCCATGTATTAAGCACACTCCCCCAACTAAAACTCTTGGCGGTTAATCGTAGAAAAATAGTAATACTCACACGTTCGCAAAAAAGTGCTAAACATCACTATAAAATGTTTGAAGAACATGTGTAGAAATTTTTGTTTCTTCTTTTTGGTTTCCTATGGTACAACAGTGTGCTCTTATGACGCTACCAGCACCGGTACATGGCGCTTGGCTTCATCATAACCCTAGTAAATTTGTATAGGTATAAGTATGTATGTATATATGTACATATATAATACTTACCTTAAATATTTTAATGCATATACATATATACTTATGAATATTAAAGTACTTATGTATACATCTATAAAATGGAATTTCGATATGACAGGAGTGAGTAATATTCTGTACGGCAACAAAGCATCCAGACTATATCCTGTGATGGTGTCGTTTTATGTCGTAGTGATGGTACTCGAGTATATAAGTATAATGGGTATGACTAATGGCTTATAGTTATAAAAAGATTAACCGGTATCTAAAAAACAATTTGGGTGAAACATAATTTCGGGGTGTTGAATATTTTTAAGGAAAACAAAATAAATAATAATGTATGTTTTTGTAATTTATTAATTTGTTTATGGCGGTTAGTGTGTTAGCTTGGGTCTTATCGTTATGAAGACTATGCTCTCGCTACAATTAGGCAGCACTAGCCAAGAAAATGTCGAGCCTTCGCTTCTGTCTGGTCAGTGGTACATGGTTTACTAGTATAGACACTTAAAAAACTAAAATACATTTCCTATTCAGTTATTTGCGTTCGGTTTCCGGGGTGCGTCGAATAAAATGATACCGTCGCACGCTGTATGACTTGTCACCACATCTTGCTGGAACCTTTTAATATTTTGATAATAGATAATGAGCTGTGGAAATATAATTACAAATCAATTGCATATGGCGCTCGCCTTTGAACCTAAAGTTGGCTCGATCAAAAACAAAAAAAATAATTAACCAATACGACTTCAACGACTAAAACAAACCCAGCTTGGCTCTTCAGAATTGTGTACACCCCAAATACTGAAGTATATTGCGTTACTGAAGATGATTTGATGCTAAATAAATTCAACTTACAATTGCTTTCAGCTCAATCGCCGAAAAAACAACCAACGACCTGGCGGCTTGAACTTTATTCATTGTGCGAAATGGTCTAGAAATGTGAGTTTTAGACAAAAGTTTTTACAAATTCTCCCATAACATTTACTTTGAGAGCTATAACTCCAGAAACTTCAATAACTCTAAAAAAAACCACCCTCTATTTGCATTTCGAAATCAACAATTCTTGTCTAAATCATTCACCACATATCAGCACAGATAAAGTACCTAAACTGCAATTTTCTTCCATTTAAGATCAGATATGACTATACTCAGGACCTCAGCTTTCTGCTAAATCAAACGCAGTAGTGTCAATTTGAGGGACTTGGCATCTGAATAAAAATATTATTTTTCATTTATTATAAACAATTTGTATATACAAATGAGCTACTCATACAAACCACACGTTCGATTTTTACATAAAATGATATCAAGAAATTATATACGAGTATGTGAATTCTCTAAGTTTGAAGTTTAGAAATTTATTTACCGTTATACTATCACTCACACTAACTACCCCCGTTGATTCACAACCATAATACCGTACAATGCGCTCTCAATAAAATTAATTTTGAGTGAAACTGTTGGGGAATTATACTCAAACAGCAAATATTATATATGAGTATTTTAAAATTAGCAAACTTCAAAGAAACACACTCAAACAAATGCATGTACCATGTACGAATATTGTTATTCACCGCTTTGAGCGGTAATCCACTATCAAGGTTTTCTTTTTAACTTATTTTTTCACTTTCCACCAAAAGTGGCTGTACAAATACAAAAATGACTCTCTGTAATTGAGATTAAGTAAATGCACCTACAACAGATGATTGCACGAAATACCGCTTCCGCTGAACACAACGTACCGCTCGTAACGACAGCGTAGACGAATCTAAATTGGAATTGCAAATGGGAAATGAAGAATAAACAGTTGGTCTAGTGGCACGAAGCAAAAGGTGAATTTCTGGTTGCGAGAGTTAAACGAGATAACGACAGAAGAATGGCGCGAAACAAGTGTCAAGGGGCGGTAGGACGAAATGAAGGATGTAACTGAGAGCGTTGAAAATCGCACACGGAAGAGGAAACGAGTGACATTTGGGGCAATCACTTAGAAATCCGGTAGAAATTCAAAGTTATACTTATAAGCGAAACGACTCTACTAAAACTTGATGGTTAATAATGGATGGATTTATAGATTAGTTAAAAATAAAAAAAATTAAATTAAATGATAATGACATGTCATTAATGTCAACAAATTAGCGAAATATTATTGATGAACTACATTTGTGGCTTCATTTATTTTATTTTTTATGTTTTCCGCGATATAGTCAATCAAAAATGTAACATACATATATTTATTTGCCACATCCTATTACAAGAATTTAAGTAATGTTTGCTATATCTTAATCCTATTCAAATAAAATTATCTATACTAAACTATAAGATTACTCATATTCTGTCATAAATTTGAGTTCACTAATTTTTATACTCTCGCAACATGTTGCTACAGAGTATAATAGTTTTGTTTACCCAGCGGTTGTTTGTATCACCTAAAACTAAACTAAGTTAGATATAGGGTTATATATGTATAATGGGTGATTTCGGATTACAGCCACAAATATTTTTCATTTAACACCATTTTAAATTTCATCTGATTCTTTCACTTTCCACTATGCAGATCAAGCATGACTTTATCGGGGAAAAATAATACGTTTAAAGTATGCCACCTTGTGCCAAAAAATTGTCTAAATCGAACTAAAACTGTTCAAGTCCCTTGGTCTTACTCACAAAGAAATCTCAAACGAGTATACCATTTGACTTTGCGAGAGTATAAAATGTTCGGTTACATCCAAACTTAGCCCTTCCTGACTTGTCTATACTTGATTTGGTAAATTGTAGGTAGTTTACAATTAACATTGATTCTATTGATACAGTCGGCTGACCGAAACTCGAAAAAATCAATTAGAAAGCGAGAGATTTTCAGGTTCTGTAAAATATGCAATTCGGTATGAAGTAAACTTGAAGGGTAAGAAAGCAGAATTCAACTGGGCACTGCTCAAAAATTACCGGTAGGGTGGCTAAATCTATCTGTATCGCCTATCGAAATCCATTATTGAAGACAATAAACTTAGATCTAACATTTGTTAACATTTTTATACATCTTTCATTAATAATGTATGCTTACTGATTAATATCCAGGCATATACAAGGTGCATTCCAAAGTAAACAGCAAAAAAGTAACAAAGTAAACTCTAGTGGCGCGATCTATATGTCGACTAGTGCGTTAGGATCTGCTATCCTGTATCGACTTCCAGTAAAAATTTCATGACATTACATCTATTCGAAGTGAAGTTAATGCGTTTTAAGTGTCAGTATGTTTTTGTCATCGGTGCGAAAATGAGCTTCGAACAAAGAGTCAACATTAAATTTTGTTTTAAAATTGGTAAAAGTTTTACCGAGACGTTTCAATTGATGAAACAAGTTTATGGCGATGATTGCCTATCTCGTAGCAGAGTGCACGAGTGGTTTCAACGTTTTAAAGTGGTCGTGAGAACATAAATGAGAAATGAGCCGAAACCCAAAAAATCGCACCTGGAGAAGCCAAAAGTGAAGACAATGCTGATTTGTTTTTATGATTTCAAGGGTATTGTCCACAAAGAATTTGTTCAACCCGGCCAAACGTTAATGCGGTATTCTACCTTGGAGTTTTGAAGCATTTGGTGCGCCATATTCGACGTGTTCGGTCCGAATATCGCGAAGATGGAAGTTGGCGTTTGTTGCACGATAACGAGCCGTCTCATCGATCGACGCTTGTGGTTGATTATTTGACCAAAAATCACATTTTAACATTAAACCACTCCCTGTATTCACCTGATATGGCACCGTGCGACTTTTATCTTTTCGGAAAAATGCATTTGCCGACGAAAGCAAAACGTAGAGGCCATTCAAAATGCTTGGACCGTGCAAAAAGCTGTATTAAAGCAGAAGGAGAATATTTTGAATAAAATTAATTGATTTTGCCGATAAACCATTTGTTCTGTCTTTTTTTTTAAGTCCTGTTTACTTTAGAACACACCTTGTATGGTATCTTGTCTGGTCAGACGGACGGTATGACAATCCCTACAAATATCCTATGACATTTTTCCATACCTTGATCACATTGACTAACTCAGTCGTCAAGATTGCTTACTATTAAATCGACTAATCGTGGATATTCTAAGTATATATAAAATTTATTTATCCGTTGTAGTTTCAAGTAAGGTTGCCAAGGAATACTGGCTCTGAGTTTTATGTAAATTCAATTATTACGGGGTTTTTAATATTTGGCGAGTGTTTAATAAAGCACTCATTCATTAGAATATATCTCAAATCAGGTGAAATTCATCATGTATGGTAGTATGAAAGAATTAATATCACGTACAACGGAACATTCGAAGTATATATAATATATATATATATATCAACAGAGGCTAGTAAAGTTATAGACCGTTTGACATCATTATTTGTTCTTTGCTTATCAATTGCAAAGTGAAAGTATTGCTGGACTTTAATATGAGATTGCATAGAAAG